TCAAACACTTAAAACAATACAGAAAATTAAATATAAATATAAATACAGCCAAGAGATCTTATGTTATGCTTCATGCACTTCCTCCTCCTCCTCATGCCTGTTAGTGTACACTGAATCTTTCCCTTAGTCAGGATTGTCTGATTCTGTATAACAACATATATTGCTTTCCAGACATTTTGCACTTTAGACTCTCATCAGGTTCAGCCAGCATTGCCAAAGGCAAGGGATTCTGGGAGTTAGACCAACCATTTGGACAGCATCAGATTGCTGATCCCTACCATATATGAAAAAGAGCTGTTGTGCTGTAAATGATAGCATCTATACATGCTTTTTTGGTTCGTAAAAGCACAGGAATGGTATTCTCTGTTAAACAGGCAAGGCTGCCTGTTAAATTTTCTTTTGAAGGATCATTTGTGATCTGGCTAAATGGCTCTTCCCAATGGTGGAGAGCACAATGTAACACACTGAAGTAGAAATTGCTTGCTGGTGCTGCATCTGTGCAAAAACATCCTTGATGTTTGTTCCTACTTCAGATCTGAGTGGACTTTAACTAACCATATTAACAGTTTGCAGTGACAGTGGAGCTGTAAAGGGCCAGAAAAAGAATTTATTGTTCTCATGGCTATTTCTTTGTTAGTTTTTTTAATGAAAACAATGGATGATGGAATGTTTCCTAACATTTTCTTCTTAAATGATATATGGAAAGATGTGAAAGAAATTTATGTAGATTTGGAAAGATATTAAATCAAGAAATAGACTAATAGGTAGAAGGATAGAAAAGCTTTTCTTATTATAAACAAAATTTCAGTTTTCGAAAATCCATGAAAAGAGGAAAGAATAAAAAGAAAAGCCAAAAGATATAGAAACTGCTGACAGTTAAAAGTATTTCAGACTCAGAGATGGATTAAATGTTTCATATGGCAAAATGTATATTCTGAGTCCTGACATTTTCTTCCCATTTCCTCAGCTTTTTTTTTTCTCCTGGAAATTAGTATATTTTGCATTTGATACAATGGAAGACTTTATTTTGCTACAATATTGATGATTTCTTCTGTTTTCAGTATAACATTTTGCATGCCTGATTCTTCTAAACATGCAAAAAGGAAGAGATGTTCCACTCAGATGTTTCAATTTTCCACTCCAAAGTTCAAACCAATTCATACCTGACATATTTTAAAAAGTAATAAAGTGCCTATATAGCTATAAAGGGTGCTAAAACCTAAGTATAGCATGTTTCAGGTTTTACCAAAATAGTTGGGTTTTTTAAATCCCCACTCCTGATTCTTTTTTATTCCAGTTGCTTGAAAATTTCAGGAATTTGTAGTGGCAGTCAGCATGACTTGCAGGAGCAAAGCTATGTGTGCAAATAACTACTCGGGCTCTTACATGTTTTTCCCCCTTGAAAATTGTGACTAAATTGGAACTATTATTTTGTATACACAGAAAATATTCTGTTCTTCAAGTAAGAACTTGTGTAGGACACTGAAACATTCCACTTTTTTCCCAGGCCTCACAATCATGAGAATTGTTCTGGGGTTGATCCAAAAGTATTCAGGAACGCCTGTTTTCTGTTTCTGCCAGTCTATCTCAGAAAGCTTTTGGACCACTCAAATGAATAGCTGGATTGTGGTAGTCCAGGGGGGGAAAAAAGGAACATTCTTGAGTTCTCAGAAACATTCCATCTTCTGAACAGGATGTTTCATGTTCCTATTATTTTATTTCTGAAGCCATTGCAGTCTTACTGTGAAATGTGTTTGCTAGACTAGAGAGAAGGTTACCTTTCTTTAGCTAAAATCACAGTTCTGCTTTCTACCTTTCATCTCGGAGGACCATTACAGTAGCAATAAAAATGGATGCGGCTTTTCATAAGGCACTAAGATGAGCTTCTTCCATCTCTTCTTCTGTCTAGGAAAAGGAGAGGCAGCGGTTAGAGAATCTGAGAAAGAAAGAAGAGGCTGAGCAACAAAGAAAAAGGAAAATGGAGGAGGAAAAAAGACGGAGACTAGAAGAGATGAAGCGGTATGGATTTGAGTCCTTCTGGCTTCTCCTTCTGTAATCTGCCCTGAGTTTTTTGTTTTCCTTCTAATCAGTCTCCTGTGTGCCCTCAGAAAACGTGAAGAGCGCCTCCGTAAGGTGTTGCAGGCTCGGGAGCGAGTAGAGCAGTTAGAAGAGGAGAAGAAAAAACGAATTGAACAGAAATTTGCTCAACATGAAGAGAAGAACGAGAAGGTAAATGCAGTGAGGGAGTTTTTGGGGATGATGGGGTCTCTCTACATAATATCTGGCTGTAAGATGTTGCTAACGTTGTGTCTTCTGCTAAAGCCAGATGGGGTTGTTAAAATCATGCTCTTCAAGTATTACCTTCTTATCTCAGAACCACTCTGTCTGTCAGTAAATTCTTTATATCAGATTTTTCAGTTTCATATAAAGAAAACATCTCTTTTAACTTTTTCTTTTACTTCCTTTTTTTAAAAAAATGATTGCTTTTTGATCCGTAACAAAAGAGAAAAAAGAAACAATAATCCAGTACAGTAATAAATAATAATACAAAAAACAAGATAAACCAGAATATAATTAAAACTTAGAAAAAAGGTAATAATGATAACAACAAAAGCAACAATGAAGTTACACATATTAGAACAATGAAATATAATAATAAACTCTTAACAAATTAAGCCTTGACCACATGGAATCATATTTATCAGATTTCTCACAGCATTGGTGGAAAGTAAGTTCACCTGTAGAAACTCCATCCAAAATTGTAACTCAGATACTGTCTCTCAGCTGGAGTAGAACAGTCTTCTGAGCTGCTGCTGCTCCCATGCACGATAAATTCATGTTCTCCATACTTCACCAGGTTCCAAATTTTCAGAATATAGGTAATTCCACATCACATTCATGTTTTGGACTCTTACTTCTTTCCCTTGCCCCTGCTTTACAACTCTAGAGGCCCCCTACCATGTACAGACCATAAGACTCTCTTTTGTTTCTTACTCCTCCCATAATGCTTTCCTACCAACATGTTAATAAAACTGTTTCCTAACAATCTGAGGTGAGGAATTCACAGAAACTGTAGAAAAAACAAAGAACCCTCTATCCCATTTTTCTCAAAGCTGGAAAAAAAAAAACCAGTCCCTTCCAGGTGTGTGACATGGCCCTATTCACTGTTGCACTCAGCCTTGAAAATACTGTTTGCCCGGTCTTAAGAAAAGGGACTATTTTGGCATAATGTATTGTCTGCCCACTACATGTCTAGAACAGAATATGTTCTCTGTACAACGCAAGATGTATATTTTAGGTCCGAGAGGAAAAAATGGCAGAGGACAAAATTAAGAAAAGGGCAGCTACCAAGAGGCTGGAAGAGCTGGAAGCCCGGCGCAAGCAAGAGGAAGATGCCCGGAAACAGAGAGCATTGCAGCTGGTAAAGTAGAGGGCTGGTGGGCAAAAGCAGGGAGGTGATAGACCTAGGAGATTGAGGAAGGGGGAATGAACACATCCCTGTTTGTTATTTACCCAACTGTTTAATTTTTGCTGATTTTTGGTGGTAATCTTAAGTAACTATATCCTTAGTTTAACCAGATGGTAATGTATCTGTACAGTGGTCCCAAGCCTAGATAAATGGGGAGGATTAATCTTCTGCCAAGGGATTGCAAAATAAAGCATGCATCCATACAAGCAATGGGACGGAAGTGTTCACCAAGTAATGCTACCACATCCAGGGACTCAATGATAGTTAGCTACTGGCCAAGACCAACAAACGATCCTCAGTCCAATGAAACAGCTGCTACTCACTGCCTGGAATGTCTGTACTGGCTTCTGCTTTGGCCAGGAGAAGATCATTATGCATGAACCACTAAGCTACAGAATATCAATGGCTGCATTGGATGATGCATTGTGACTGCCTGGTTCAAGCGACATGTGAATCATCATTCCAGACCCTGAAAAATGGATGATATATTATTCAAGCTGACCAGCACACAGCGGGTATTGGTTTCTCAGTGGACCAAAAGGCATCTAACAATATTGTGGCTTTTCAACCTATTTTGAGTTGACTTGCTGTGCTCACATTATTAGCTATTATTCAAATTCACTTGGTGAATTTTGTCAAATTAAGCAAAGGATGAATTCTACTCCCAGTGCTAATCCACAATGGACTTTCTATTACACAGCCATATTATCATCATTGCAGGAAACCTGAATGCCCATATTGGGGCAAATTAGCCAGGACAGGAGGACATACTGTACTCAGAAATTTGTGGCACGAGGTATTTATTTATTTATGTATTTATTTATGTATTTATTTATTTATTTAGTGATCAACTTATATAGTTGCTCATCTCACCATAGGCAGCTGGGCGGCATACAACAAAGCTAAAAACAATCAATAAATACTATACATTAAAAATATAAACATCAAAATAGAACAAAGAATAAAAGGATGTTAAAAATAAGGGAGCCATCTCACATTTATTTATTTATTAAACCAATTTCTATAGCCACCGATCAGCTATATAAACGATAGGCGGCTGTATAAATTGGTTTAATAAATATTAAATGGTAATGGCTTGTGCCTGTTATCATTTGCAGCATAAAATTGGCCAATGATTGGAAACAACATGTTCCAACACCTGCAGAACACCAACTTATGTGACACATACCCAGGAAGAAGAATGCCACATTCCTGGACTACTTTATAATACTCATCTAATTCAAGACCTCATTTAAAGTCATCCAGCAGACTGCATGTCTGATCACCATCTTGTACATGTATGTGCAGCTCTTGCTTCAAAATACCCATCCCCAAGGCAAAACTCTCACACTGCAGAGAATGGTCTTCACTGGCCAATTATATCTTCAATGATTTCAGCTAGTCCCATCCAAAGCTTGCAGAACCAGAAAATATGGAGGAAGCTGCAAATCTCTTTGCTTCAATTGTAAATAAATGCAGCTGGTCTCTTTACAGCCTGTAAACAGCCAAGATGAATGTATAAGGTAGTATATATGGCTTAACAACCACAATAGGGACCAAAAAATTGGTTGTTAAGTGGGGCAGTCATTAAGCAAGTCACGTGACCGGACCTGATTTTATTTCCATTTTTATGACAGTTATTAAGTGAATCACCATGTTTGTTAAGTGAATCCAGCTTCCCCAATGGACGTTTTTTGCTGGAATTCACTTAACGACCACATGATTCACTTAATGTCCATTGTAAAAAAAGTCACAAATCGTGACCCCAGGGGGGTGCAGTGGTTCAAGACGGCCGTAAGCATGAGTACAGGTCATAAAGCACTTATTCCAAAGATATCATAACTTCAAACTGTCATTAAATGAACGGTCGTTAAGCGAGGACTATCTGTAGACATCATTGACCAAAAGAATCAATGCATATTAGTTATTGTATCCCAACACTACTAACGTCACCATATCATCTGCTGTTATTACTGTAGGGATAATATCCCTGCAGACTTGCAAGAAGCTGTACATCGGCAAGAATACTAGACAGTGCACACCACAATATCTTAGAGATTGTATGCATAGCATCAATGAAAACATTAGCAACACTCATTTGTATGTTCCAACACTGTGTTTGAAACAGTGAAAATATTTCTGCCAACTATATAACCAACAAGAATCTGATATATAACCTGCAGAACTACCCCACAACTTAGGCCTTCCTGATGAATCAACATCAGAGGAGATGCCAAGCATTGAAAACAACAAAAGCAAGACAAAACTGCTTTATGTGATGTCGCAGCAGAAGTACAGAAGTCAGCAGATGACACTTTACTATGTTGATTGTGCTAGCTAATTCAGCTGATCTGGCTATCAGAGCAAGTACCAAGCACATGGAAGCAAGCTATCATAGTCCCCATCTTTAAAAAAGGAGATAGTAGTGAGTGCAGAAACTACAGTGGGATCAGTCTGTTCTCCATGGCCAATAAAATATTTATGCAGATAGTCCAATTCTGAAAAGCAGAACAAGGTGGCCCATGAAGAAGAGCTTCCTAATCTGCAATGAGGTATGCTAGGGATGCATCCTGGCTCCATTGCTATTCAATACCAAAGTAGACAACATCATGAAAAAAGTCTTCACAAATAGACATGGAATTGAATTTGGCGAGGGACAGTTCATTGGAGACCTCATATATACAAATGGTATTGCCATTTTTGCTGATGAAAAAGTGGAAGTAGAAACCACTGGATATGCTCTCTGACATCAGGGATGTAACAGGGCTATTTGAACTGGTCATCAGCGTGGAAAAGATTAAGTATTGACCACACAGTACTTAGCAGCTCAGCAGTATCCATATACCTAAATGGAGTGCAGTTTAGAACAAGTTCAAGAATTCAAATCCAGTTCCACAGTACAGGAAAAGGAGGTTACCTTAACAGCTGGAGTGAAACCCCAAATTGGTGTAGAGAGCTGTGGAGATGACCTTGGAGAAGAAATCCAGGGGCCATTAGAGAAACATTAGGTGGAGAAGAAACATGACCTGAGTCCAGAGAGGCAGGAAGATGTTAGAAACTCAATGAGCCCTCTTCCCTGACTCCCGGGGTATAAGAGGGAGGAAAGGGAAGACACAGGCAAACTTGCAGGATTCTCTTATTATAGTCTATTTCAATAAAATATAGAAAAGAATATATGTAGCTCAGGGTTGAACTGTGGAGTCCTTGGGGTTCTCTGAGCTTGGTTGTTTTCTTGCAAGCATTTCATTACCCAGCTAGGTAACACCATCAGTGCTCGAATGGAGTGGGGTTTGCTCTCTGTTTTATATACAATGGCTTGCCCTGCCAGATCTCACCAGCAATCATCACCCAGATAAACAGGGTTTAACACTAAGATTATCACCAGACATACAGTCAAGCTGTAAACAATACCCTAGTCAAGGATCTACCAGGGGGCGAAAAAACCCACCTCCACCAACACTGACAGGGCAAGCTACTGTATATAAACAGAAAGCAAACCCCATTCCATTCTAGCACTGAAGATGTTACCTAGCCGGACAATGAAATGTTTGCAAGAAAGCAACCAAGCTCAGAGAACCCCAAGGACTCCACAGTATAGTTATAGTCCTCCTATGGACTCTGTTTCCTGATCCAGTCTAACTTGAAGGGCTGATGTTGGTGCTGCCACAACTCCTTTTGGTTTACTCATCTGGTAGAAGCCTAACATTACTATATACATCAAAATGTATAACTGATACTACCAATTCTGTATAGGGCTAAATAATAGATGGATCTACAGCCATCTACTGGAAACTTCCAAAAGTTCTATCTCCATAGAATCCTTGGCATCACATTGATAGATCACGTACAAAATGAAGCTATCTGTCAGAAATGCTGCAACCAGCCAACAATAGCCAAAGAAATCCAAAATGGTGGTTGAGATGGCTTGGGCACATTTGCAGAATGAATCCAGTTTGCTACCCATGCAAGCTCCTTTGGAGAACATAACCCCATGGGCAGAAAATTTAGTGCAGAACATCAAGGAAAACCTGGACAAAGCAGATTATAACTGATCTTGTGCAATGCAGATTTGACTTGACAAAATCATAGCAATGGACAAATTGCAAAGCACTTTGGCAACTCATTGTATTAAATATCTGGCCTTGTAGCACCCACATCAGTACAATGGTTGCAAAAATGCACTAGAGGGATCAAGTTCAATTCTTAGTTTAGACCTCCTTCCTACAGGTGAAACTCGAAAAATTAGAATATCACGCAAATGTTCATTTATGTTAGTATGGCAACTGAAAAGGTGAAACCAATATATGAGATAGACACATTACATGCAAAGCGAGATATGTCAAGCCTTACTTTGGTATAATTGTGATGATTATGGCATACAGCTTATGAAAACTTATGGAAGACCAGGATGCTTCAATAGCGGCCTTCAGCTCCTTATGGAAGACCAGGATGCTTCAATAGCGGCCTTCAGCTCCACCAAGGACCCAGAGTCTGGAGGAAGAATGGAGAGGCACACAATGCACGATGCTTGAAGTCCAGTGTGAAGTTTCCACAGTCTGTGTTGATTTGGGGAGCCATGTCATCTGCTGGTGTTGGTCCACTGTGCTTCATTAAGTCCAGGGTCAACGCAGCCACCAAGGACCCAGAGTCTGGAGGAAGAATGGAGAGGCACACAATGCACGATGCTTGAAGTCCAGTGTGAAGTTTCCACAGTCTGTGTTGATTTGGGGAGCCATGTCATCTGCTGGTGTTGGTCCACTGTGCTTCATTAAGTCCAGGGTCAACGCAGCCACCAAGGACCCAGAGTCTGGAGGAAGAATGGAGAGGCACACAATGCACGATGCTTGAAGTCCAGTGTGAAGTTTCCACAGTCTGTGTTGATTTGGGGAGCCATGTCATCTGCTGGTGTTGGTCCACTGTGCTTCATTAAGTCCAGGGTCAACGCAGCCACCAAGGACCCAGAGTCTGGAGGAAGAATGGAGAGGCACACAATGCACGATGCTTGAAGTCCAGTGTGAAGTTTCCACAGTCTGTGTTGATTTGGGGAGCCATGTCATCTGCTGGTGTTGGTCCACTGTGCTTCATTAAGTCCAGGGTCAACGCAGCCAAAGTAAGGCTTGACATATCTCGCTTTGCATGTAATGTGTCTATCTCATATATTGGTTTCACCTTTTGAGTTGCCATACTGACATAAATGAACATTTGCACGATATTCTAATTTTTCGAGTTTCACCTGCATATAGAGCTTTTTTTCTGACAAACTGTTCCCCACCCAGTCAGGGTAAGCTTCAAAATGTCAGGACAAATAATTGGAAGAGTTTTTGGCCTCTTTTTTCTTCAAAATCTTAGAAATGTTGAAGTATTGTATGGAACCTTGAGTAGAAAAACAGGCTATTTCAGGTTCATAATCTCAGATGGGATTGTGGGAGAGATGTAGCTAGTGTCATGTAGCTCTTTCCCAAGACTCTTCTCTGTGATTTTAGATTAACTGGCTTCAGTTGCCTATGGTGTGAACCTCACCTGGAAAATAACATGATCTTTTCCTAGGAGGAGGAAGAACGTAGACATAAGGAACTGATGCAGAAGAAAAAAGAGGAAGAACAAGAGAAAGCAAGGAAGATTGCAGAACAACGCCAGGCTGAGCTGGAAAGAGAAAAAAAACTGTCTGCTGAGAGAGAACTGGAGAAGAAGCGAGAGCAGGAAAAGATCCAGGCACAGCGGTAAGAACAGAATAGCTGAGCATCTTTCCACTCTATGAATTCTCATAAAAGCAGGCATAGGAAGAGTTCTGAGGTACGCAAATATATGATTAGAACATCTGGTGGCATAGCTGGGACTAACATGGGGTTCAAGTTACGCTGAAAAGATGATTGCTTTTCTCTTCAGGTGGTAATGTAGCATGTTTGCTTGCAGGGAGCGTGAACAGCAAGAGAAAGAAAAGGCTGCTCGCTTGCAGAGAGAGGTTTTACAAGCAGCTAAAGAAAAGGAGAGGCTCAGGAAAGAAATGGAGGAAAAAGAGAGGAAGTTGGTAAGGGGCTCATCCATCTCTCTGAATGTCTTTTGTTATGTTTGCAGCCTGCCCACCTCATCTGGATCCTGTTGTGTGGCAACAGCCCTGTCCTTTCTCAATATTGTATGGCCTCTTTTTAGCAGGAACAACGGAAGCAAGAAGAGGAACTGCAGAAAACAACTTCAGAGCCTCAGGCAAAGGTTGCTAATAAACAACTGAATGTGACCGTGAATGTTGAGGTAACCTCAGAACTACACTGAATAATTAGCAAAAAGAGTAACAATAACCCTAAATATATTCTTTTAAACTTAAGATTATATTAGAAAGCAGGTTACCTCTAGTGGGTGTTTAAGATTTAATTTACAGAGCCATTTTTAATAGTGCCAACAAAGTGGAACGTCTGGGTCTTCAGTTGTTGAATTGAATAGGAACATCTCTGTATACATCCACTCCTGCTGGGAATTGTAGCTTGGCAGCATCTGGAGAGTCACAGTCCTAGTCCTACAATAAACACAGTTTGATGCTGAACTGCTACATAAACCAGAATAAGATGGCCTTGGCTCTGAAAAATGCAACAAATCAAAATGTTGGCCTATTTTATTGCCCTGTAACATTTTAATATCAAGTTTGCTTCTCCCATCATTCCTCTGTTTGTATGTGGATGTGTTGTATTTGGGAGGGAGTTACTTTTTAGTCTCTCCCTCTCCCCCTTCCCCTCTCTCCCTCCCTCCCTCCCTCCCCACAAATTTTTTCACAGATTTGGGAAAACTTGAAAGTATAGTGGCAGAAGTTAAAATGTAAAGAGGAATCTAAAACTAAAGGGGAAAAATAAAACTTCATAGAAGGAAATATCTGGATTAATACATTGGATAAAAAATCTGGCTGCCTCCTAGGACTTGCCATTGGAAGGCTACTGTTTTAATAGAAAATAACTTTTAAGGCTATTGTTTTAATAGAAAATAACTTTTTCTTGAAATAGAAAGGAACTTTGGATCTTCAGGTTATGCTTCACTACCTTTGAAGGAGGGGGCGTGCAGCCTGGGATCTCTCAGTTGAGACATACTTTTTAGGTCTTCCTGCTGCCATTGTTGGGAAGAACTAGAGATTTTATTTGGGAATGAGAACAAATAAGTTATGTGAGATACTCTTCTGAAAAACAATGGGAAACTACTAACATGTGCTACAACTCTTTTAGTGGTTCCAGGATCCAATTCCAGTGACTTGATTTTCCTGGCATTCTTCTTTCTAGAACTCGCCTGTCTGTAATTCATATCAGATGACACCTCAAGGCCCCAAACAACCCAAGATTGATTTAAATAATTATGGGATGGATTTGAACAGTGATGATTCAACAGATGATGAGAGCCAGCCCCGCAAACCCATCCCTGCTTGGGCTACTGGTATGTTGGAACCCATCTGTGTTCTTTGAGTCACATTACAGCTGAGCACTCCCTTAGATCTGCTTTTCCTAATCCAGTGCCCTGCAGATGTATGGAAAGTGCAACTTCTAGAATTCCCAACTGTTTGCTAAGAATTCAGAGAGACAAAATCCTAATACGCCAGGAGAGTACCAGCTTGGGGACGGCTTTGCAGTATTTTATGGAACCTGTTGCCAAGGGATATGGTAGTTCACTTTAAAAGCTGATAGACAGGTTTACAGAGAACATCTTTATCCTGCTATTAGCCTTGAGTGCTGAAAACACCTGTGCTCAGAAGCTGTGTATTTCTCAGCACTAGTATTTGGGAAGGAGCTGTTAGCATTTTGGAAATTTCTGGCTGGCCCCTGTAGGAAATGAGATAGATGTTGGGCTAGATATGACCCAGTGTAACCAGATTTTCAAGCATCTTCTAAACACGCTTGCTTAAAAGCAAAGCTGAGCTTAATGCAAAATAGAATTGTATTTCTTCTCAACTTCTCAGCTACTAAAAATATGAAAATTCTGTGTAATGTGACAATGCAGTATTCATGATGTACCTGGAGACTTGACATAGTATCTTTTAAACATAGTGGTTTAGTACCTTGGTCTCTTTTTACACTTTGTGAATATAGCTTTAAAATGTGCTAGGAAGCAGAATTTGTATTTCCTGCTTGTTTGAGAACAATGACTTTTTCGTTTTTAATATAGAAAAAGAAATACATTGCAAAAATTACATAAATACATCCCAAATAATATGCATCTAAATAGGACGTCCATCTCTTCTGTGGGCCAGATCTGTTAAGTATATTTTGGCAGACAGATTTCACTGCTTCCAGCAGCAATCTGTAATGGTCTGGAAATATTTCAGGAAGGAAATGCTTTGCTAGCAATGGACAAGATCAGTTCTAATTTTAATCGCACATGCACAATATTTTTTCATTTTAAAATGTTCGTAATGGTTGCTACTGTCTTTCGCATGACTTGGATTATGAGAGAAGAAGACAATTTCATCTGTGAGATTGGGGGGAAATTATTCATTCTTCCTTTGGAATTCTTGCTGTCCCTTTTAAGAACTGAAACTGCAGAATGCAGACCCCAAATTTATTTATTTATTTTATATTTCAAATTTGGTCACTGGCCATCTCACTAGGAAGTGACTGGGCGGTTTACAGTAAAAACAGAAAATAAATATTAATTAAAATATGGTTAAAGTACAATAAAAATACAATAAAAACCATATTCATACATAAATAATAATATCTTCCAAGGTGCTGCTGGTAGAAAGGACATTAACATACAGGAGCATCTTCAAAGTGCTAGCCACCCCCAGGGTTGATTGCCTCTTCTCGCCCCATGCAAGTTGGCAGAGCCAGGTCTTAACTGCTTTCTGGAAGGTCGAGAGAGTAGGGTCCTGCCTCACCTCTGGGGGGACGGTATTCCATAGGGCAGGGGCCACAGCAAAGAAGGCTCCCCTTCTGGGCCCCGCCAGTCAACATTCTTTTGTCGACAGGGTCCACAGCATACCCTCTCTGCTTGACCGGGTGGGACAGGTCAATATAATGGGGGTTGATTTTATTTAAATGGCAATCAATATGTCTGTTCTTCCCTCCCTTAGGAAATCAACTAAGCCAAGCGATCTTGCACCAATATTATAACCCACCAAACACCAAAGCACTCTTTGGAGTGGTGAAGAGTCCCAGGTTAGAAGAAATCTTCTATAAGAGCAAGCCGCGTTATTTCAAGCGCACTAGCTCTGCAGTGTGGAATTCCCCACCTTTTCCAGGTGGCAAATCTGTCCCTTCTGCTTTCAAGAGGTGCTGATGCCTGTTCAGTCTAGTCTAATGTGTGTCTGGTTCTGTTTGTCAAAGGAGAAAATGTATTGCTTTTTAATGTGTGCACTCTTTTTTTCTTTTATCAATATTAATAAATATAATGTTCCCATAATGAAGTTGCTGTCTCTGCTCACGGTGCCTAAGTAATCTGCTAGGATTGGCAACAATATTATAATAACCCTATTGTTATATATGACAGCTGTTAGGGACCTATGTGTAGAAAGTAAGGGAGCTGACCTTGACAGAAATATATAAGAACTGTTACTTAGGCAAAGAGGGCTGGAACATTACTTAAGCCCTGGGAAGCAAAATAGTGTTTGGAAACAGCTCAGAGAAATGTTTGCCTGATTCACTGAGATATAAGTAGGAGGGGAGGTACAGTACAGTCAGACATGCAAGCTTCTGTTATTATAGCCAATCTCAATAAAGTATGTTATTTTCTGGCCTGTTCTCCCTAGTGGGGCTGATACTATGTGATGGTGTAGGTGGCATGTAAGACTAAGAATAAGGACATGTAAGGACAAATCTTCACTTGACATTGAGTGACCTTGGGTGATTGCACACTCATTCTAACCTATCATTAGATTACTATGATGGGACGAATCAAGCCCTTGAGGGAAGGGAGATAGAAATGCACTATGAAGCATGCCTAAGGTCATATATTTAATTTCTTTACATTTCCAGTTATTTAAAAGATCAGGTAGCAGACAATGGGAGGTAAATGTCTCTTGGATGTATTTTTGAGCTTTATTGTTAGAGATGGTAGAGAATGCAACTGTGATAAAGGGGCTTAGTTTTCAGTACAGCTGTGCATAGGATTGGCTGATATTAATCCCTAGTTTCCTTAATAAATTCTGCCAGTCCTTTGATTACTTTGTCCTATAATATATTTGCCTCAGTAAAGTTGCCCCTTCTTCACCTTCATTCTAAGGCACAAACCATAGTTACGAATCAATAACTGGTTTCATACAAAATGCTGTATTTTCATACCATACAAATAAAACAATTCTGGACTAACACAATGCATGAATTCTACGATTTTAGATTGTTCTGGAATGATTCTGCAAAAACTCCATCTGTACTATTTTGAAGAAAAAATTGCTGAACCATAGCCTAGCTTGCTTTTAGGCACAAATCTGCCTATCAGTCTTTTTATGATATAGAGGATATATGGTCATATCTCATGTTTATATATAGCAGGAACCTGTTCGCATAGAATTAGATTTTTGTATTTGGTTCCATTTTTTTTTTGTAAAAACTTTAAGTTGTTTAAAAAGGAACAGTAAAAACTAATAAAAACTAATATTGAGAGGAAGCAGAAGAAAAAGAAAATTGAAAAAAAAGAAAATAGTAAAGATCAAAAGTGCAGAAAAGAGAGGGGAAAAAAAGAATTGACCTTTGACCCTGCTTGCAACAGATATAAGTAACAATATATATCAAACTCTTACTCTAAATTTAAAACATAACTTTCATTATTTCTCTTGACCCATATTATTTCTAATCATCAAATCCACACAACATAATTTAATTTTTTTTCTCTTTCCCGCAAAAAGTCCAAAAGTATTTAGTTCCATTTTTTTTTAATACCAGGAACGATACACTAAGAAACTAAAAATAGCTATTTTTTAAAGTCTAGGCTCACACGACCAAAATTCCATTATAAATTGTTTTATTCCTTATGGTCTTAGATACTTCTTGTCCCTTCAATACCCTGTGTAATCTTCATTCCTTATGGTCTTAGATACTTCTTTTCCCTTCAATACCCTGTGAAAAATTTAAAATTCCATTATAAATTGTTTTATTCCTTATGGTCTTAGATACTTCTTGAGCTATGCTTTGTATGTTTCTAGTCCATAGTAAAGATCGGCCCAAGAAATTTGCTTCCTGAAGAGGACTAAATCTCATTGCCTCCATTCTGTTTATAAAAGCCAACCAAATATGTGGCTGAATCTTCAGGGCTGGCAAGCGTTCAGCATCCTTAGGGCACATGCAGCTCTATCCACAACTCATCTTTCAGGGACTGCCTTCTGAGGTTCTGACTAAGGGGAGGGCTGGCCTTATTTGGAAGACCTCGACCATACAGGACTCCAGCAGGGGAATCCAATAACATTGACAACTATGGTGAATTGGATGGACACTTAGAGCCTATCCACACAGCCCCCTAACCTTGGTGTCAAATTCCCTTTGGCATGAAGGATACTTCCTCATGGCATAACCTTCCTCTCATCCTCACTCCCAGCCAAGGCCACCTAACTTCAAGTTTATCTAATCCAGGGCTATAGTGATGTTCTCATCTTCTGACAAAAGCCTTGTTATATATGGTACTGATGTAGTTTTGACAGTAATTATGGTGATAATGTGGCATCAGGCAAAAGCACCCCAAAGCAGGTTGGGGTGTCTACAGGGTGGGAAAGGGAAGTCCAAATTTGCAAGATGGTAGGTGCAGCACTGTCAAAATCCTATCCCTTTGGTACATGAGGCAATGAAGCCTGCATGTACAACAGGCGCAAGATTTTGCTTGTGACATCACACCCACTATCTTGCAGGTTTTGACCCTCCATGGCTCCAGGTGTACCCATTCCCCTCTTCCCTCCACTGTTCTTTTGGTGTTTGCCCATATAATGCCTGACCAGAAGTGTTGCTCTAGCCCTTAACTATCCAGGAAAAACGGTGTCCTGACTGGCAGGCAGTTCATGAGGTAGAGCAGCCCTGGCTGAAGCAGGGAGTCACCCAGTAGTCCCTGTCAGCAATTCCCCCATCTGTTTTGGGATGGGAACAGCAAAATAACGTAAGTGGTTGAGAGCATCAGCAAGCTGGATGAACAAGTGGGACAGAAAGGCAAGCGAGCACAAGAGAAAGATGAGCAAGGAAGTGAAGAATAAAAGTGAGAATGAGCACACAAATTAGTAAGTGAGTGAGTGAAAGATGAGTAAGCAAGAGTAAAGATGATCCAGGGAGCAACAGAAGGAGAATGCAAGAGAAGCAAGCAATACAAGAAAATGAAAAAGCAAGTGAATGAGAGGATTAATGAGGCAACCACCATGTGGGCGGGAGGAGGGCTTCCCAGTAAAGTAAGAGGGGAGACCCTCTTTGTTTTACCAGGAATTACAGCACATAAACCCCAGTGGGGGCTTTCTGATAAAGCTGGAGGGCCAGAAAACCCCTGTCTATTCTATGGATCAAATCCTGACAGATAGGTAAACCAATAGGTCTAAGCCATCTACCAAAACTCACCTTCTCTTCCAGCCCCATCCACATTAAGGACAACATTTTACACCCCCTTGACTGGAGGAAAGCAAGTTAAACCAGCTACCTTAGTTGCTAACTAGCCTCAAATCAAAAGAGACAGTGAACTCTGTAACAATGTGCAGCAGTGCTGATACTGCATCCTTGATGGAGAAAATATTGAGTCCCCTAGCGATAGTGTTCCCTGAATTCAAAAGAGCAATTTCAGAATTAATTGTACCAATGGCAGGCATTTGTCACTCATTACTAAATGAAGCCCAAAAAAAAGCATGATAATAGGCAATCGATTTAATAAAGCAGAAAGAATTCAAGACCACCTAAGTTTGTCTCCCAGCCAGCATGAATCAATAACAACACACATAGATACACGGGTTCTGTAAACGAATGGATTGATTAATTTCTGATTCACATTTCTAAAATGGATTGAGAGGTTATATTTTTCAGCTCCTGATGTTCATAGTCAGCATCTTGAATTTGCTTCTTGCAAAAGCCAGAATCCTGCAAAAGGCTCAGCGCATAGCCAGTACTGCTTCCTGTAATGAAATGAAGATTACACAGGGTATTGAAGGGAAAAGAAATAGGAAACAGAGTGTAATCCCATGCATGTTTCAGAAGCAAACCCCAACCGGTTCCATGGGGCTTTTACCTTATATAAATAACTGTGTGGGTGTGGGGGGGGGGGTTAGGGGAATTTTTTATTATTGTTTACTGTTAACTTCCTAGAGCAGTGTTTTTCTCCACAAACAT